AGTCACCTCCGCCCTGTGTCTGGTTTTGGCAGATAAGTTGAAGAAACACAACACAGATGGCCTCATCATAGAGGAGAGGAAGCCTGGACCTGGCAGGCGGGGCTCTGTGGCTGGTATCCAGCCCCTCTGCAGTAGCAGAGAGTCCCTTCAGAGGGCATGGCACCCTCAGGTAAGAAGGGGCTCTCCCAGCCCCAGGATGCTGCTCTTCCACACAAGGTGAGGTTGGAAAGCCTCTGTCTGGGTAACTGGGTTTCATACCCCTCTCTGGGGGCACTGTGACAAAACAGTAATACTAAATATTAAATAGATAAAAGTTAGTTGTTACCATGTGCCAGGCACTGTTACATTGTTGCCTCATTAAATGCTCACAACTCCAAGCTATAGCTGTTAATGTCTTACAGATCTGCAAACTGTAACACAGGATGGTTAAAATGGGTTCCCCAAGGTCACACAGTCAGTGATTGAAGCCAGGAAGCTTCCACCTGTGGGCCCTAGCACTTTCAGGGAAAGGGACTTTTAGTTCAGGCCTTCATTAACCACCGACCCCCGGCCTTTGTAGTGAATGCCAGAAAGTAGGGTCACCGCGGAAGTTGGAAGCTGGTTGTGTGGGGCCCAAGGTAGAAAGCAGAGCCCAATGGTGTGTGGACATTTTCCCCTCCAAGAGTATGAAGTGGAAAGATGCCACTCTCATACCAGTGTATATAAGTCTGTGACTGTGTATACATGAGTGTGCATATGTGAGTTTCTCTATCAGTGTGTAAAGGTGTGAATCCGAGTGTGCATGAGTTCGTGTGTCAGTGTTGTGTGTAAAAGTGTGATGGAGTATGAGTGTGTGATGTGACGGTGTTAGAGTATGTGTCATTTTGTGTGCGCCTGAGAATATTTGAGCATGAGTGTGACTGTGAGAGTGTGTATCAGTATAGGTGAGTGTGTGTTAGTATAGATGGGCCTGTGACAGTGTGCTCAGTGTGTGATTGTGTGTTCGCGCGCGCGAGCACAGCCCCGTGCCTTTGGGGTCGCCTTGCATTCCAGAGCAGCCAACCGTGCCTCACCAGGGTGACTCACAGAGCTCTCAGTTCAGTCCCGAAATGTCGTGGGACAAACGGAGGGGAAGGTTCAAAGTAGGGGTCCAACCCTCAGGTTGCTCAGGTCCCTGATGGGAGGTTCCCCGCGGCGGCTTGGGTGCCTACCCTGGCCATCTAGGCGGGCGCGGGGGCGGTGGCGCCAGCGCCGGAGGGTCCGGGCAGGCGGAGGCTGGAGCCGCTTGGCTGAGTCGACGCGCTGCCGGCTGGAGAACCACTCACTGGGACTCGGGAGGGGGCGGGGCGTGAAACCCCTGGTGCGGCCCCACGGCCAGCGTGCCTGTCCTCTCCTTGCCGCACCTCGCGGTTTCTCAGCCTCCGAAAGATGTAAACGTAGCTCTTGGCCGGCTGGCTTCCCGGCCTGTGCAGCGGCTTGAGCTCTGAGCACATGACTGACCGGACCCTGGCACCAAGAAAAAAGCGCACACATCCAATGAAAACAATAATTTATTTAAATAATCTCTTCATATTGTAAAATCAACATTAAGAGCATGTTGTTTTCATAATAAATAACCCCAAAATACCTTTCATTTCAACAACAAAGACTTTAGGATACGATAAAACAAATCCAAATCAGTAGCTTAATTTAACTGAAACGTTTTTAAAGGAAAAAATAAAAAGGAGGGGTTGCCGAGGTCACTGCTAAACTGCAGTTTTCACAACTGGGGGTTTACAAAAAAGTCTGAAAAGATGGGTATTTTTATACAAATAAATCAGTGGGAAAATCTGCACAGACACCTTTATTTACAAACTCTGTGTCCAAGTCCAGGCTAATAATCCTGAATAGGTTTTAAAAAAGATAATTTAAACACATTTTTGCAGTGTTCACATATTAAAAAATCATTTTTTTTTTCCAACATCAAAATGAGGTCATCCGCAAAGGCACCTAAACTTTTAAAAAAATAAAAATAAAAAAACTCCACTGGTGATGGGTGAGGAGAGAGCTGAGGGAGCGCTCATTGGGGAGCACGGTGGGGGAACAGAAGGCATGGGGGCTCCGAGGGCTGAGAACTGCAGGGAGTAAAGTGGCCAAGGGTCAAGGGGCCACGTTGGGGAGGGCGGGCAGGCAGGACCGGAAGGTCAATAACTGCAGCGTCCGAGCTGAGCCCAGGGGCGAGCGAGGAGAAAGAAGCCTCAGAGCGCCCGGGAAGCCTCGCGCGCCTGGGAGGCGTCCATCTCCCGAGACCCAGCTCTCAGCCCGGGGCGAGGAAGGCGCCAGACAGGCTCACCCGGAGGGTAGGGAAGGCAAGTCTGAAGCGGGGCTCGAAACGGCTGAGACCCGGGGCTCAGGTCAGAAATGCGGCCTTTTAGGGAGGCCTTCGCCAAACTGCTGTCCGGTTCCCCCGAGAGAGAGGCCGGCTTGGTGGCCCCGGGAGGGAGCAGGCCCTGGAACGGGCCACTGCAGGTCGCAGCCTCCAGGAGAGGTGGGTGGCGGCAGCGGGCCGGGAGGAGAGAACCCCGGCTCGGGGTAAGCACTGAGGATAACTGGTCTCTGCTCTCAGTCTCTGGCGAGTTCTCCCTGGGGTTAGAAAATCGTCCCCGCGCTCACCGGGGCGCCCCCGCCGCCGTGATGGTGGTGGTGGTGATGCGGCTGCGGGGTCTGAGTGGGGTGCAGCAGCGGCGCCGTGGCCTGCAGGTGTGAGGCGGATCCCGAGGCCTGGTGGTACCATGGGTAGTTGCCCAGAAAAGCCGAGGCCGCGCTGCTCGGGCTGGAGCCTGAGCTGCCGGCGCCGCTGCCACCACTGCCCGGACCGCCGCCGCCCGCCATCCGCTGCGGCGCACCGAAGTCCCAGGAGGCCGGCGCCGAGATTGGCGGCGAAGCACAAGGTGGAGAAGCGCTGGCCCCAGGGTGCTGCTCCGAGGGAATCTCACCACTTTTCCACATCTTCTTGAACTTGGACCGGCGGTTCTGGAACCAGATTTTGACCTTTGAGGAAAAAGACCTGAGCATTAGTGGAGGAACCTAGTCTTGGGGCAGTAGGGGTTCGAAGAGGAGAAAAAAAAAAAGCAGAGAAAAACCGCCGGCTAGAGGTGGGCAGCTAGCGCCCTGGAAGCGGATCACGGGCGGCGGCCTTTGAGACTCTGCGGGTTCCTGCTCCCTGGGGAGGTACTTGCCAAAAGGCCCGGACTGTTGGTGTACGTGCACTGCGATGATGGTGACAGCGGGAGGGTGAGGAGGGCCAGTTATTTCACCCGCTTAATCAGTAGCGAGAGGTACGGGGTATCTGTCCACCCGGTTCCTTTCCTTCCCTCCCACGCGGCGGCCCCTTGGGGGTTTCCAGCTTTGGGCCTAGAAGCTTACTTAGGGCCGCTCGAGGCGTAGGCCTGGAAATCCTTAAAAGTACTTAAAGTGAACTTTTAAAAGCATTGTCCTGAACCCGCCTGCTTCCCAGCCATCTCAAGTCCGCGCTCTCCTCGCCCCCGCAGGGCGCGAGCCCCACCTGAGTCTGGGTGAGGCCCAGAGATGCAGCCAGCTCGGCTCGCTCTGGCAAGGCCAGGTATTGAGTCTTTTGGAAACGCCGCTGAAGAGCCGCCAGCTGGAAACTGGAGTAGATGGTGCGGGGTTTCCGGACTTTCTTTGGCTTCCCGTTCACTATCCGGATTTCAGGCTCAAGGTCCTCCTTCTCTGCAATGATACGGAATCATGAGAACCGCGCAACCCAGGGGTCCTGGAGTTCCCGCGCTCCTAGAAGGCCCGGAGGGGGGACCTGGCTTGAGCCAGGAGGTGGGTGCACTGAACTGTGGCAGGCGCAACTTCGCAGCTTGCGGATCGGAGCCGCCACCGACCCCGGGAGCTGAACCCTCCAGGGAAGGGGGAGACAAGTGCACACCCAAGAGAAAGAAGCAGGTGGCAAGGAGATGCCCTTATGAGGCAGGCGGAGCACGCCCACTTGGCCCTTGAGGCCACCAGGTCCCACCAACGGAGAGAGGGAGGTAACCGGCGACCTGCGGCAGATTGGAGGCTGGGGAGGGTAAAGGGCACAAGCGGGCGGTGAGCAGGCAGCGTGAAAATCCAGGGCTTTCGACGGTCCCCCGCCCCAAACACGTTTACCCATCCATCCCATTAACTAGACCGACTCGGCACTCTTGACTCCAGCGTTATGCATACCAGGCTCGTTGTTGGCTGGGGACGAACTGGTTCCATAGGGAGCGTAGGAGGTGTAGGCGGCGGTGTAGCCCAGGTCGTAGCTGCTCTTGGCGGAGTAAGGGACATTGTTGAGACCGCTGGCTTGGTACTGGTAGGAACCCATGTGCGCGAAGGGCGAGCCCCCGCCGCCGCCGCCGCCCGCCGGGTGCTGCTGGTTGGTGTAGTAGCTGCTGTCGGTGGCGGTGGACACCGGAAGGGTGGGCGACTCCTGGGGCTTGTGGAGGCTGCTGCTGCTGCTGCTGTTGTTGCCACCCGGGCCGGCGCCGCCGCCGCTCGGGGGCTGCTGGTGCTGGTGGTACGTGCTGGAGGCGGCGATCTGGGTCGAGTGCATATCAGCCACTAGACTGTCAAAGACTCCAGTCATCCTGGCCCGGGACGGGAAAGAGCAGAGGTGGCGGGCGTGCGGGGGAAGCCAGGCGCCTCCTCCGTCTCTCCCGGTCCCCTCCAGCAGCCAATGTAATTACGGGGGTGGTTGGGGGGAAACAAGAAAGGAGGCAATCGTCTAGGCGCCTCCTCCTCCGGGGAGGCGATCACTGTGCGCTGCTCGGGACAGCTGCTGGTCGCATCCTCTTTGGGCCTCTGGGCCCTCTCGGCTCCTTGCCCAGCGCGAGCGCGGGCTCGGGCGGGGGGCGGGCAGTGAAGGGGGCAGGGGTGGCTGGGCCGGGTCGGTGATCCGGGAGGCGGGAGCAGGTGAGCGGCCCTGAGCGGCTTTACGATTGTCTGCCAGGCGGGCTCCTGCAGTGTGGGCATTTAACACTCGTCACGTGAGCGCTGGCGACGTCACCTAGCAACAGCCAATCAGAAGCAAACGGCCGCGGAGCTCCGGGAACGCCCGGCCAGAGGGCGGGCGTCACACGGTGGGCGCTGTGGCTGTGGCTGCGGCTGCGGCTGCAGCGGCCCCGCGTGCAAACAGACTGCCGCTGAATGTGAGCAGCGAGGTAAGGGGTCGTGGTAGCGGGAAGTCAGGGTGGCCCGCAGCAGGAAGACAGAAGGCGTGGAGACAGGCTGGCGTTTTGCCTCAGAAGAAGAAGTGGGGTCCCCCATCCCATTCTGTGTGCAAGTGCCAGTTCCAGTGATTCGTACTTTCATGTCCGAGGTCAGTTTTCAAACACATTGAAGTACATCGGTGACCAGAGTCCAGCTAGCTCCATCTCCACTTTTCCTCGAAGTGTCTGGCACTTACTCTTGTTAGCCACTCGGCACTTGACATAGTCAATTGATTTAATTATCCACAAACCACGTGTAATGCCCGCTTCCTAACCAATCCGCAGGGATATTAGGACAATTAATTAGATAATATTAAAACGGGTTTTCCTTGTTGCTTGAAAGAGAAGCTACATAAACTTAAAGGTATTATTGCTAATAATATATTTGAAACCAGTTTCCCTGGTACTTTCCCGACACGCGAGGGTCTGAGTAATTATATATGTTTGATAAGTAAATGACACCCTGAAAGCCATCCCGAGCACTTCCTCCTTTGGGTGAGAAGGTTCACCAGTTGGCCTTGAAAATTCGATGCTCTTGCGAAAAAGGAAACAGGATAATAGGTGAGATTATAGATTTATCAAGTAGATACTAGATTTATCACTTCTCTGTAAATTTACAACAAATATAAAAAGTTTTATCTGGTTTGTTGAATTTAATCCTGTTTTACAGTTTTGCATTTTGGGACCCTGTTCTACTCTATCATTGCAATTTTTTCTTTTCATTCTCCTGTTTTTTAAAAAGTCGGAAATGACAACTTCCTCTGTCTCTGTAACCTTGTAGTGGGAAACCTTGGCCCGACGGTGATGGACGGCACGACTTGCTGGACTCCCACGTCCGAAGATCCTGCGGCAGCGCTTGCTTTGTGGCGCCACCTGGTGGGCAGTGTGCGAGGTTACCGGGGGCGGGGTAGACGGTCTAATCACGCCCAGGCGCCAGCCTCTGAAACCCCCCAAAAGAACAAAATAGTAATTAAAAGCCACAAAATTGTGCTAGTGCGCACCATCTGAAGCACCCTTTCCTAAAGACCTAACATGTCGCTGAAAGAACTTGTTACAACAACTGTCTGATAGAAAACAAGTTGATACCTTCAAAAATATGATCTTTGGTCTTCTTCCCCAGAAAAAGCAAGTGTGTAATTAAAACTCCAGCATTCGCGCAGAGGAATAATGAGATAGGTAATGCGCCTTCAAGTCTACCTGGATTTAGTTCCCAGCTTTTTTTTGGTTAAGGAAGGCCCCTAGATGGAAAGAGCCAGCTTATGAGAAAAGGCTGGAGGTGGAGCTCACCCCCACCCACCTGCATTGCTGTGCGGCTCTCTGCCTACTTTGTGGGCCTCCGCTGCAAAACGAACCTCTTCATACTGAAACATGATTGCCTTTTGGTGTTTTTTTGTTCGTTTGTTTTTGTTTTTTTTTTGAGACAGAGTCTCACTTTGTCACCCAGGCTGAAGTGCAGTGGTGTGATCTTGGCTCACTGCAACCTCCACCTCCTGGGTTCAAGCGATTCTCCTGCCTCAGCCTCCTAAGTAGCTGGGATTACAGGCGCGCGCCACCACCCCGGGCTAATTTTCGTATATTTAGTAGAGACAGGGTTTCACTATGTTGATCAGGCTGGTCTCGAACTCCTGACCTCGTGATCCCCCCGCCTTTTGGTGTTTTGACTTCAAATTCCAACTCTTTCTTTCTGTCACCACAGTGGGGGCTGCTTTGACCTAATATAGAAAAAAAATCCGTGAAAAAGAGATTTAAAAAAATCCAACCTCCCGCAGGCGCGGTGGCTCACGCCTGTAATCCCAGCACTTTGGGAGGCCAAGGTGGGCAAATCACCTGAGATCAGGAGTTCGAGACCAGCCTGGCGAACATAATGAAACCCCATCTCTATTAAAAATACAAAAATTAGCCGTGCGTGCTGGTAGGCGCCTGTAATCTCAGCTTCTTGGGAGGCTGTGGCAGGAGAATCCCTTGAGCCTGGGAGGCAGAGGTTGCAGTGAGCCGAGATCATGCCATTGCACTGCAGCCTGGGCGACACAGCGAGACTCCGTCTAAAAAAAAAAAAATCCAACCATGTCTTTTTCTCTCTGTTCTTTGTTCCCATCCTAAATATGTTCTCCAGGCTTTTTCATGGTGGCAAATTTGTTGTATTTTATTTATTCAGTAACTTCCATTAATTAGCAGCCCAAAGTCTATATCAGCTGAGATCTGGAAAATGGTATCTTTCTGGAAGGAAATGACTGGAGCCCCACTTTATCTGGAAAACAAGGGATTGTGTCCGTGGGGGAAAGAGGGGGCAAAGAAGAGACCAGAGGCAATGAGCAAGCGGGGAGAGTGTGAGGGAGGGTGAGAGGGAGGCAGAACCCACGACTGCATTTGGAGAATCAAGTAGAGACTTGAGGTATGAGTTCTGATAATTTGAAAACAAATCTGGGTTTAGCCAAATTATCGGATTACTGCATCACAATTCCAAACAGTTTGTTTACTTTGGTCTAAAGTCAGGGAAGCAGTGGCAAAGGAATTGACAGTTTTGTTTACAGTGAGAGTGACGCCCATCTCCTTAGTGATCTGAGTGAAGCGGAGGCTTAATGGCCGGGCGCAGTGGCTCAAGCCTGTAATCCCAGCACTTTGGGAGGCCGAGACGAGCGGATCACGAGGTCAGGAGATCGAGACCATCCTGGCTAACACGGTGAAACCCCGTCTCTACTAAAAAATACAAAAAACTAGCCGGGCGAGGTGGCGGGCGCCTGTAGTCCCAGCTACTCGGGAGGCCGAGGCAGGAGAATGGCGGGAACCCGGGAGGCGGAGCTTGCAGTGAGCTGAGATCCGGCTACTGCACTCCAGCCTGGGCGACAGAGCGAGACTCTTGTCCCAAAAAAAAAAAAAAAAAAAAAGGGGGGAGTCTTAAAACGAGTTTGGGGAAACACTGGTGCTTGAGGGCGGCCAGCTACCTCTTCTGCCCCAGGGCACCTTCTTTCCCCTTCTCCGTTTTCAGATTTCTCTGACTTCGGCATTCTTTTGCTCCGCAGGAACCTAGAAAATGGTGGGGGTAAATAAGGGGAGCGTGAAGTTTCTGCTCTGGGCTTGCTTGTCCCAATCCCATCGCTGAGACTTTCTTCTGCTTTGGAACGCTTGTCCCAGGCTGTCGCCGCGCTGCGGCGTCTCCCCTCGTAGGAGACTAACTCCAACCCCTGCGCCAGGCAGGGATGGAATCTTCATTCTCATTGTACAGAAGGACACTGAGGCTTGAGAACGGAAACGACTTCTTTTAAGTTGGGTCCCCCTCCCCCCTTGCCAGGCAGCCGCCTTTCTCTGTTGCCATAGCACAAATCACAAGGGTATTTATGTAGTAAGCCTTAGTTGAGCAGCTCCAGGTCTTCATAAGACGGCGAGCTGGAGACGACAGGTCTGCGCTTTGCTCTCAGCCCCTTGCCCCACCGCTAGCCTGGGGCAGGATTCCAGCCTTCGCCTAGCCCCGCGCTTTGCCTCTGCAGGGCTATCGGGTGTCCTCCGCTGCACAGAAAGCCAGCCCAGTTGGGTATTATTGGGGAGAGGATGCCTCCTGCCGGCAGGGAGCGGGGGTGGGCGCCCGGGTGCCCTCAGTGCGTGGCGGGGCCGGGCCCATTTTCACTCTCCTTCCCCCACCGCGGGTTGGGGGCCGCACGCGCTGCTGCTCCTACTCCTCACAGTCTCGTCGAGGGTCCCGGAGAGGCGGGTTTCCGGGCCTCTGGTCCAAGAGGCAAAGCCAGTTTCGGTACCTTTGTGTTTTCGCCCCCGAAGTAGTAGCTCTAGGAACCTGCGCTTTCGAATTCCTTTGGGGTTTCTCCTAAAACTCAGAGACGTTGGAAGAGGGCGGGGATTTGGTTATGACAACCTCACAGCTCAGCCTTTGCGACCAAACCGGCAGTGCTTTTGTTCTCACTTCATTGGCTAATTGCAGCTTCTTGGGACAGCTCTGGCCGGATCCTTTCGCATTGCTGGTCTCCTCAGCATGATTTTCCCTGCGGCTCCAAGGGCAGCCTCAAGGGACTCCGGGAGCCATCAGCTCTCAGCAGCCCCTGGGACCGGTAGGCAGACGGGACCCCTGACTCGGGATCTGAGTCCTGATTTGTCACATTTTTTCTTTTCCTGCATGGACCTGGCGAGAGGACACAATGGAATCACTCTTGGGGGGCAAAGACTCCGCCTGTGCAGGGAATGGGTGGGTCCTCTGGTCTCCGCTGCCACGGCTCCCCGGCTCAGAGGTTGTCTCGGGTTTCCACCATTTGAAAAATTATTATTATCATTATTATTTTGAGACTGTGTTTTGCTCTTGTTGCCCAGGCTGGAGTGCAATGGCGCGATCTCAGCTCACCGCAGTCTCCGCAACTGAGGCGATTCTCCTGCCTCAGTCTCCCGAGTAGCTGGGATTACAGGCATGCCCCATCACGCCCTTTTTTTTTTTTTTTTTTTTTTTTTGGTATTTTTAGTAGAGACAGGGGTTCTCCATGTTGGTCAGGCTGGTCTCGAACTCCTGACCTCAGATGATCCTCCCATCTTGGACTCCCAAAGTGCTGAGTTACAGGCCTGAGCCACTGCGCCCACCTATTATTATTATTTTTAAGAGTCGGAGTTTCACTGTCTCACTCAGGTTGGAGTGCAGTGGCGCGATCACAACTCATTGCAGCCTCGAATTCCTGGGCTCAAGGGATCCTCCTGCCTCAGCCTCCGGAGTAGCTGGGACCACATGCATATGCCACCATGCCCAGATAATTTTTTTATTTTGTAGAGACGGGGTCTCACTATGTTGCTCAAGCTGGTCCCAAACTCCTGGCTCCAGCGATCCTGCAACCTCGGCCTCCGAAGGTGCTGGGGCTGGGATTACAGGCATGAGCCACCGCTCCCGGCCCACATCTTTGGCTCTACACTCCCTCCTGGCTCCCGAGCTTGAGAGTCTCAGCCAGCCATTCCTCTTCCACCTGCCTCCAGGCACTGTCCTCCAGCAGCGTGCAGTCTAGTGCAGAGAACGATTGCCCGCGTGTATTTACTGAGCGCCCAGCGTTCTGCCAAGCCCTTTACCTCCGGCATCTCACTGACTCCTGGGAATCGCCCTGTGGGGTGGGTACAATATCACTCACATTGAGGAAACCAAGGCCTAGAGCCAATCACATGCTTACGGACGCGCAGCAGTGTCCGACCTCAAACTCAGATCTGGGCCACAGAGGCAAGACCGCTGTCGCTCTGGGCTGTTTCTGGCCAGGGGACGCGAGAGAAGGCGGCACCACACTTACCTCTCCCGGGCCTGGTGCTGCCAGCTCCGCGGAACAGACGGGAAGGGGCATTGGCCGTCCTGAGGGCGACCGCGCCCCTTCCTCCCCAAGGAGCGTCCTGGAAGGGAGGTTCCCCTGGGAGAGGAGGAGGCGCGTCTGGCTGCCCAGAGGGTAGCCCCGGCAAGATTCCCGAACAGACTCGAGTCTCTGCGGAGAGGGCTGGAGGCGGGTGCCCCCTGGCTTGGCACGTAAATCCGAGCTTGGGGACCCGATGTTTTGTTCCCGCTGGGATTCCGCCTGGAGTTATCTTTGCTCGCTGCTGGGGTGTAAGTAAACCCCAGGGGCTTGAACCGGGATCATCGGATACTCGACGCTCTCAGCCGTGGCCTTTCCGCGGCGCAGGGCTTCTGGTGCTTTCAGACCCAGTTTCGCCTGTTGCCTTCCAGAACTAACAGACTCTCGTCAGGTCCATTTCACTTTATTGTCTGTTCAACGGTTAAAGCAAAGAGAGTGACAGCTGGAGCCCTTGATCCGGGAGGGCGCCCTGTATGGGGCGAAGGGTGGCCCAGGTTCTGAAGCACACTGATCCAGTGGCCTAACTGTGGGATCCCAGCGCACAGGCCCCGAAGGCAGGCCACCGGTGGTTGAGCTTCCAAGGGCGAGAGAAACCCATTCCCCTTAGACGGTGAAAAGTTGCCACATCACCGTGTCCAGGTCCCTCCTCCTTTCCCCACCGCCCCCGCCCCCTCCAGGAACAAAAGCTCAGACAGTTGAGATGTTCACTTTGCACTTTCGGCAGCACTCACATTGACATATGAGAAGAGTGCAACAAGGTTTGTTCTCAATCCGAAAGA